TCATGATGACATTTAACATTTTGAATTGATGCATAATTACATCACTTCTTCGCTTTCTTTTACTGTCCCCAGCCCCTCCCATGGGACCTCCGTCAGTCTAGTCCCTCCAGGGTCTTCAATCCCTCCCAAGTCTACCCTCTCGCCCTCTCAAACTGATCTCAAATTAACTTTCATTATTATCATATATATACATAAATATATACACGCTGAGTCCCTCGGTGCAGCTTGTGCGCATATGATTGCAGGGCTGACTGCTTGATACTGGATAACCAATCAGGGGCTTTTAGGTTTATAAAGTCCTACTTTTCAGTGTTGGCCTTAATTCTTGGGCCAGTCATGTCCTCCTCAGAAAGTTCTTTCCTGTATGGTGTAGGTTACTGCCTGTGTTCCTTTTGGCAGTTTTAGAACCTCAGCTTTCAAATTGCGGTCTTTGGTCTACTTGGAATTAATTTCTGTGCAGCGTTACAGATAAAGGTCCAGTTTCATTCTTCTGTAAGTGGCCATCATTTTCCCAGCACCATGTGTTGAAGATGCTGTCTTTTTTCCAGTGTGTGTTTTTGGCATCTTTGCCAAATATCAGATGGCTGCAGGTATGTGTACTGCGTTTGTTTGGATATTCTGTTTTGTCTCATTGGCACATGCGTCTATTTTTAATTTTTTTTTTATTTTTGTGTGTTATCAACACCATGTTGTTTTATTATTGCAGCTCTATAATATACCTTAAAATCTAGAATGGTAACTCCTTCAGCGTTATTCTTTTTGCTCAGGATTGCTTTGACCATCTATGGTATTTTCCAGTTTTATATAAATTTAAGGTTTTTTTTTTCCCATTTCTGTGAAGAATGTCATGAAGATTTGGATTGAGATTGCATTGAATATATAACTTGCTTTTGGTAGGATAGTCATTTTCACAATATTAAATCTACTAACCCATGAGCATGGTAGGTCTTTCAGTGTTTTAGTGCCTTCCTTAATCTCTTCCAGAAAATTGAAGTTTTCATTGTAGAGTTTTTTCACCTCCTTGGTTAGTTTTATTCAATATATTTGGGTTTTGACAAATTGTGTTTGAGTCTGTAAATGAAAGCATGTCCATTCCATGATGTTTTCACTCAGCTTGTACATTGTTGGTGTATAGAAAGGCTACTGATTTTTTTTTTTTTTTTTTTTGTGGCTGCTGTTTCTCTTAGGGTTACTCTGTGTAGCCCTGGATGTCCTGGAACTGGCTATATAGATCAGGCTGGACTCAAACTCAAAACGATCACTTTCCTTTGCCTCCTGAGTGCTGGGATTAAAGGCATGGACCACCACACCTGGTTAGCTACTGCTTTTCATAATTTGATCTTTGGGAGGGGGGGGGTTATTTTGAGACAGGATTTCTCTGTGTAGCCCTGGCTGTCCTGGAACTCAGTTGACCAGGTTGGCTATAAGTTGATTCTTATACTGCCATTCTGCTGAAATTAGTAATTATTTCTAGCAGTTTTCTGTTGGAATTTTTGGAATCTCTTTGTATATTAACATCATATGTAAATAGGGATGGTTTGACTTCTTTTCCTATTTTTGTCCCTTTAATTTCTTTCTCTTGCCTTATTGCTCAGTTAGAATTTTACACACTACATTGAAAAGGAGGGAAGACAGTGGACAGCTCTGTCTTATTCCCAATTTTAATCGAATTTCTTTGATTTTTTTTCTCCTTATATAATGATGTTCGCTGCAGGCTTGTTATAAACAGCTTTTATTAGGTTGAGGTATGTTCCCACAAGCCCTACTCTTTCCAGGACGTTTAACATGTGAACATGTTAGATTTTGTCAAAGGCTTTTTGCATATATTAAGATGATCATGTGATTTTTTTTAAGATTTTATTTATTTATTATATAAACAGTATTCTGTCTGCATGTATGCCTGCATGCCAGAAGAGCGTACCAGATCTCATTATAGATGGTTGTGAGGCACCATGTGGTTGCTGGGAATTGAACTCAGGACCTTTGGAAGAAGAGCCAGTGCTCTTAACCTCTGAGCCATCTCTCCAGCCCTAAAGATTTATTTATTATTTATACAACATTTGGCCTGCATTTGTGCCTATACACCAGAAGAGGGCACCAGATCTTGTTCTAGATGTGGTTGCTGGGAATTGAACTCAGGACCTTTGGAAGAACAGCCAGTGCTCTTAACCCCTGAGCCATCTCTTCAGCATATGATGCTGATGTGATTTTTTTATAGTGATGCTGCACTCTACTCTCATTTATCCCCTTCCTTCACCTTGCTGGTTCCCTTCCTCCTTGCAAATAGTCCTCCATTCTGCCTTCAAATTATTACATTCCCCTCCTGCCCCCTTCCTCCTCTCCACCTTCCTTCAAGATCTCATCTATTTTTTTCTTTTTATGGACCCCTTTATGCCTACATGGACTCACACATAGCACACACAAGCATACACTGTATACGTATGTGTGTGTGTTTGTGAACATGCACAAGGGTAAGTGGTGGAGAGAGAGAGAGAGAGAGAGAGAGAGAGAGAGAGTTAAAGGACAATGTCAGTCTTGGCCCTCATCTTCCATGTTGTTTGAGATAGGTTTTTGCTTGCCAGTGTGTACTCCAGGCTAGCTGGCCAAGAACTTGGATTCCCCCATCTTGCTTTAGAAGAGCTGGGATTATAGATGTATGTAACTGCATCCAGCTTTATGTAGGTTCTTGGAATTTGAACTCAGGCCCTCACGAATGGGCAGTGACAGCTGGCTCTGCAGCACTCTCTCCTACCTTAACACTCCTGGGTTTAAATCTAGACGCCACATAATGGGAGAAAAAGTGAGACATTTGTCCTTCTGAGTTTGACTTATTTCACCTGACATAAGGATTTTTTTCAGGTCCATCCATTTTTCTGAGACTGTCATAATTTCATTTTCTATGGCTGAACAGAACCTCACGGTGTATATGTACCACATCGTCATTAGCTACACTAATGTCTGTTGATAGAAATGTGGGTTCCACCTCTCACCTTTGGTCAACAGTGAGCCTGTATGTTGATTTGGATTCTTGGTGTATACACTGAAGTTGTATAGCTGGACTATGCTGTAGCTATACTTTAGAGGTTTTAGAACCCCCACAGTGGCTGTACTGCCTCACACCCCCACTAGCAATGTCTAAGGGGTTCTTTCCCCATGTCTACAGCCCTGCCTGCCATTTGTTTTTCCTGATGTTGGCTATTCTGGCTGAACTTGAAAAGCAGTTTTACATTTCATTTCTCGGGCGCTAAGGATTTTGGGCCACTTTTCCAGGCACTTAAAACTCAGTGTACTCATCTTAAATGTCTGTTCACTTCATGAGTCTGTGTATGGATTGGAAGGATTACGTCTGCTTTTTTTTCTTTTCTTTTCAGCTCTTTCCATATGCTATGGGCCTCCTGCCTGATGTGTAGCTGGCAAAGATTTTTCTCCCATTTACCAGTTCTCGGGATTATTTCCTGTTCTACTGGAGTCCTTTTCAGAAAGTCCTTGTCTATATTCTGAGGTGTCCTAGCTATGTTTTCATCTGGTAAAGTCTTTATTAGTGCCTTTGATCTGTTTTGAGTGTATTTTTACACACATAACTTCTTTCATTCCTCTGTTGGCTAGTCAGTTTCCCCAGCAGAGTATGTTGAAGAGGCTACCCCTAACCGGTACATTTTGGCAGTCAAAAAAATCAGGTGGCTGTAGCTGTGTGGGTGTACTTCTGGGCTGCCCATTGTATTCCGCTGATGTGTCTGTCTGTTTCTATGCCCGTGTCATAGAAACTGCCACCATGGCAGGAGAGTCATGGGATCCACGCTGAAGTGGAGGCAGGTGAATGCTTGTGTTCTCCTCGCCCCCCTTCCTTTCATTCAGCTCCGTGCTGCCTACAGTGGGGTGGGTCTTTCCCCCTCAATGAATATAAGAGGATCCCTCAAGGCATGCTCTGAGCCTCGCCAAATTCAGGTCATCTTCCACAGGTGTGCCAGGGCCTTGTCTCCTAGGCGGTCCTCCATCCTGTCAAGTTAACGACGTTGAGCCTTACACCTCCATGCTGGGGATTCGGTTTTTCCTCCTTTCCTTTCCTCTCTCCCTTCTCTCCACCCCTCTAGTCTTTCCTCTTCCCTGCCCCTCCCTCATTCCTTATGATGAGACAGGGCCTCAATTCCAGAGCTTCCTCTAACTGACAGCCCTCTTGTCTTCATCTCCTCCGTCTCCTCAGGGTTTGAATTTCAACCTGTCATGAAGACTTTCAAAACCCAGCAATGGCCACGTGTTGGACTTTTTTTTTTTTTGCATCCCTCATAAAACATTTCTCACTCAGATTTTTCTCTTCCTCCCGGGGCTGGGGAAAATCTTGCAGCCATTTATGTCAGTCCTGGGCATCTCAGTGTGAGGGCTTTAGGCCGAGGGACACAGTGACACAAATGATTAAACATGAACCGACTTTCTGGAATCCATTTTATAGCCCTTGGATAAAGCAATTCTTTCTTTCCACTTTCCAGAGTCAGCGGAAGTGGGGCAGGGACCTTGGCACAGGGCTTTGGAGAGATGGAATTAGTTAAGGCGCAGGGAAAGGGAAGAGCATGTCGGTGACTCTGTCCTGCCCAGGGAGCGCACACACAGGCCGGCAGGAGACCAGCTCCTTCGTTGCCACAGAGCCTCCTTTCTTCTCCAGGAAAAGTGATTCTTTCACAGCCCTTGGAAGCAAAGGAAGTGGAAAGTCCCACAGCATCCTGAGCCCCTCTCTCCTCACGAGGGCTGTCTGCTTCTCAAGGTCAGGGGCGGAATTTGCCTTTGCAGGCCAGCTATGCAGAGGGTCCCCGGGTTCGAGGCGAGCGCCCCCCTCCTCGAGTGGAGACCGGTGCAGGCAGACCTGGTTTAGCAGGGGCTTTTCTGAGAAGCTGCTGAGCTCAGACCCTGCTGGCTCCACATTCCTGCGTGATGAGGGAGGGATTCCAGTGTTTACTTTGAACAGTGTTTTCCTGTGTCCAAACCCACTACGTGTTAAATTCTTCCAGATTTCTGGCTCCACACTACAGCTCCAGTGGGACAGAAACAGGTTTACGGCCGTTGGCAGAGGCGCGAACGCAGGGTCGGTCTGGACACCTCCTGCATCTAGAATTTCCTCTCCGTGGATGGAAAAGCCAATCAGTGCCACTGTGGGCTCAGCGCCTGGGAGGGGCATGTGGTCTAGATAGCAGCGCGCTCTGCTAGTGCCTTTCACATTTCCCACCCTAGAGGGCAAAAGCCAGCTTGTCGCCTTTGAGCGGCATCCGGGAAGGAGAACAAGAGGGTTTTGAAGGTCCGGGCTGGCAGTGTTTTCTTGGGTAGGGTAAATCCAGAAGGAATGCGTTTGGTGGGATGTTAATACATTCCAGTTTCTTAGGCCTGCTACTGAGTGCGGAGGGGAGGAACACAAGGGTTAGAGATGGAAGAGAAACAGGTGCAGGAGAGCCCAGCTCTTACCGCTGGTATCCAGGGGACACAGAGAGGCACAGTGGTGTAGGGGTAAGAAAGGGCGGGTCCCCATCATAGCTGATTAAGACTGGTGGGGGTGGGAGGAGACATGCGCCTTCTGCGCAGTAAACAGCCTCTTTATTGTGTCTGGGATGATGAACAAGTCAGGGAAAATTCTCATGGGCCCATGAGGATGTGGGCTCCATGGAATCTGTTGTGGAACTCCACACTCCAGGCAGGTGGGTACCTGTTAGCCCAGAGCAGAGCAAGTCCAGGCGGGGCATGTGAGAGGTAGCTCTTTCAAGCCCCCTCTGATCCGGAAGCTGTGCTGTCAAATGATGGAAACCCTCCCTCCAGTGCCCTTCGTAATGATGGGTGAATGTGCCCTGGTTTACAGGAGTCAAAGGAAGCTGGGCTCTGGCCTTGGAGGCATTGGGAGAGCCAAGATAGTGTTTATGTAGCAGTATTTAGAAAACAGTCCTGTGGTAAGACCTGGGGTTTTGATCCTGACACTTTGGCAAAACCTTTTTGAAACCATGTACATTATGCTTGATCTTCAGAAAGAAAAAAATTACAAAGTTTCTACTAGGCGCTCGCCCTAACGGTCGGAGCCTGCCTCTCACACTTGCCTCCATTCCTGCTCCAACCCTGGTCCCTCCGGCAGCCTCAGTTCATCTGCTGTGTCCACATGGCCCTGTCAGAGTCAGCCTTGCTGGCACCGCTCCTCACGTCTGGAGCGTTTGGTGCTTCCGTTCCCTACCTGCCGCAGCTGCCCTCCTCATTGCTCTCACAAGCTACCCCCAAGAGAGCAGTACTAGGAAAAGGGTTTATCTTGGCCCAAGGGTTGAGGGCACAGCCCAGCATGGTGGGGAGGCTTGGAATGAGAGCAAGGCAGCTGCTTACATCGCGTCCCCATTCAAAAGTGAATATTGGTGTCCAGTTGGTTTCTCCTTTCTCCCCGCCCCCCTTTGTTTAGTGGTGACTAAGCTTACCGGATGGTGTCACTAACATCCAGGGTCTCTGTTCCTCAGTGAAACCTCTCTGGCAGTGTGAGAAACATCTTACAAACATGCAGAGATGCACAGACTGCTGGGTGACTTAGAACCCAGTCAAGCTGACAGTGAGGAGTAAAAGCATCCCACCTCCATCGGCCCGCTCTGTTTGGTAGGAAATTCCGTCGTCTCCTAGAGATGGCGAGGGGATGAAGGGAGTACCATCCACTCAGCGTTTTCCCGGCGCTGACAGAGTAGGAAGCCTCTCTGTCTCAGTCTGACACGCAGGGCATTTTTCTTAGACCACCTGGCAAAGAGACTCGTACTGGTTATTTCTTGAAGTTACCCTAACTATACTTAGTACTTTGATCTCGTAGTGTCAGTGGGTGGGCCATCTGAATGTACTTCCCTGTCTGCCTCTCTGATTTCTCCATGAAACAAGAGCGATGGCTTTGGCCGAGGTTGTAGTTCGTCTGAAGCTCATGTCGTAGTCAGGGTTTCTGATGCTGTGAAGAGACATCACGACCACAGCAACTCCTATAAAGGAAAATATTTCATTGGGGCTGGCTTGCAGTTCAGAGGTTTAGTCTGTTATCACCACGGTGGGAAGCATGGCAGCTTGCAGGCAGACATGCTGGAGGAGCCAAGAGTTTTACATCTTGACCCAAAGGCAGCAGAGGGGACTGTCCCACACTGGGGTGGAGCCTGAGCATAGGAGACCTCAAAGCCCACCCCCACAGTGACACACTTCCTTCAAGAAGGCCTCAGCTCCTAATAGTGCCACTCCCCATGGGAGGAACATTCAAACACTTGAGTCTATGTGTGTGGGGGCCACACCTATTCAAAGCATCACAGCTCAGGAGCATGAGAACCCACCTCCAAATGATTTACCTGGTTATTCTTATTGGTAAGCTTAGGTTCCTTGGAGGCTGTTGAGCTAAGGGCCTCGGTTCCTTGCCAGCTTTGGCAACAACTTAACCATGGGGGACAGCTCATCACAGCAGCTTCTGTCTCAGATACCATGTGCAAGAAATCATGATCAGAGATCATGCGTAAGAAACTGGCAAGGCCGGAAGCCAGGGAGATAGCTCAGTGGTTAAAGTGGTTGGCTAGCAAGCCTGAGGACCAGATTTTGGATCAGTAGACCAGCAGGTGAGAAGGCCCATCTGTCACTCCAGTCCAGGAAAGCAAAGGCTGGGAGGGGAATCCTCTCTGAAGAACACGATACTCTGTGTGCTTTGAAGTTCTCCTTGTCCTCACCCTAGACAGCACTGTTATTGTTGTTTTCTTGTTTATTGTGAAGCCAAACTATAGTTATGAATCAGAGAATACAGTTTATTGCAGAAGCTCAAGGGTTGGGTCTTCCAGAAAGCCCAGAGCCTAACTCTTTGTGGTCGGCAGCACATCCCATAATGATGATACCTGTCTAGAATATCAGGAAACTGGGGCCCAAAAGTGTTCAGGGAAGTTGTTCAAGACACATATCAAGAGGTGTTCTAGTTTGCATTTTTGTTGCTGTTATAAAAAGCAACTTGGGGTGGGAATGGTTTATACTTTTAGACCATAACCCATTATTGAGAGAAGTCAGATCAGGAATTCAAGGTAGGAACCTCAAGGAAGGAGCCATGGAGGAATGTGGCTTGCTCTCTTGCTGTCTGGCCTGCCAGCAGGTTCACACTCAGCTAGCTGGCTTCTATGGTCCAGGAGAAATACCTGCCCAGGGACGGCACCACCCTCAGTGGGCTGGGCCTTCCTATGTCAGTCAGCCATTGAGACTATACCCCACAGACCTGGCCACAGGCCAGTTTCTCTCGGGTGATTCATCAGTTGAGACTCCCTCAGATGACCCAAGGCTGGGTCAAGTCAACATCTGAAACTCACTAGGACAAGAGGTAAGCTGCTTTCCTGACTTCAGGGTTCGGTTTGTTTGTTTGTTTCACTTGCGATTCCGTTAGCATTGTTTTCATACCTAAGTCCCAGGTTAGTTCCAGTAGGAATATGATGCCTCTTGATTCCATTTTGCTTATGAAATCATTCTAGACTATGGTTGCAGATATCCAAGAAGAGAAATAGCTCTAGGATGGGGTGATGGATGTCGAAGGTGTGAGTGTGTTAGAGTGTGTCAAAGGTGGGGTGTTAGAGACTTGACTGCTGACTTACGTAGGTGTGTGTGTGTGTATGCGTAAGCATGCGTGGGTACACATTCATGAATGCATATGTGCATGGCTTGTACACCCTGTGTGGGTGCTCTGCCCAGAACTATGCATTTTAAAGTGCATGCGCACATCTGTGAGGCTGCAAGCGAACACAGATGCCTCAAACTTGCCTGAGCTCATGGATCAGCTTCAGAGAGTGTTCTTTTGCTAGGCAGATTGTGTAAACTGTTTCTGGCCCTGGAAAAAATAAAATAGGTGGGCCAAGATGGGTGATTGGGGTGGGGTGGGGGGACCAGCTATGTTGAAGAGTTCCCTAAGCGCATCCCTTATATGCTGCTTTAAGGCTCACCCTCATTTTCTTCCATGCAGTGACTCACTTTTGGTGAGATGAATTTTGTTGTCAGTTTCTCAAGCCTGGGCATTGGATCATGTTGTGTTGGCACTGCAGGAGACACCCTGTCCCGAATATTAACAACGATGACAACAGCCAAACCAAGAGGTCCTTAGCATTCGGCTAAATCCGTGCTCAGTAATGTGAATTAGCTTATTATAGCTTCATGACAATTCACAAGCCCTTTTACTGCCTCTGTGTTAAAGGTGAAAAACCCACGGCTTGTGAGTTTTAAGTGTTTTGTTCCTGTTTCAAACCGTGTTTCTGCCCTTTCTTGAGTTCACACTGTTAATTTTGTGCTACAATTTACTCAAAATGAGTTTCTTAATGTGCGACATAACCACAGTGGGAACACTGGTGAATTCTGTCAGTAGCCCTCCAGAGCATCAGGGAGAGGGCTTGTTTCTCATAGGTCAAGCCTTTGCCAGGGCGAGGACACCCACATGACACTTGGAAGGGCTTGCTCCTGGGGCTTACAAGTATTTAGTGCATCCCTCCTCCACGCCAAGGAGACACATTAAAATCTTTGTTGTCTAGTTGGATTTCTGACCCAACAAAAAAATTCTTTTGTCAGGACTCCCAGATTTCCTGGCCATGGTACCCATACATCTTTTCTATGTGGCTAGCAGCTCTGATCTGGTGTGCACTGTTTGTGTATATTCGTGCCTAGAAAGATTCCTGTAAAACTACTAGTTACAATCACTCCCAAATTGGAAACAACTTCTTTCCTGGTCTGTAGGGAATGAGGCGCTGCTCTTCTTGCTTTTAATTTGAGGCCACGGCTTTCTGTTCTCCGAGGACTATCCACGTTACCTAAATTACATCTTTTCTGTCTTGTGTTCCTCATTCTGTACTTCCGGGAATTTGCAAGATCCAGGAGAAGTCAGGGCCACGAAAGGTTTGGATGGGATCTTACTACAAATAAAGATCTGCCCTTGGCATTTAGATTTATGCTTGAAGTTTGGTGGGATAAGGAGCCACATTGGGAATGTCACACTGGGGATGGGTGGGGAAGAAGTGGAGGGGGACTGCGGAGATTATCAATGGAGACTGAGGTGGAGGGCACCCAGTGCCGTGGGAAGAGATTTGGTCTGTGTGCTGTCATGAAAGCTAAGTGGGAAAATGTTTCTGATGCACAAAAATGCTCGTCTCTACCAAAGGCCATTGCGTTTTGGAGATAAGAGGGTACAGTCTTGGGGCATAAGCAGAAAGCTGTTCTTTGATGGTGATAGGGCCACTTCATCTACCTCATGGGAGAGAGGCAGAGAGGTTGAGGGCATATGGAGGCCAGTTGGTATGAATTATAGAGGACAATGAGGGCATTCCTGGATCATGGATTCTTGGATCTTTCTGAAGTTAGAATGGACGGTAGTTGAGGGTGAGAAGGGGAAGCAGGTGACAGGAATTTGAAACTGTTTCTTGGAAAATAAGAATGTGAAAAGAGCAGTAAAGGGCAAGCTCTGGATTGGGCTAGTGTAGAGCATGCTTCTGAGACAGAAGCAATAATAAAAGAAGCCTTTGGCAGCTAGACAGCCTGAGTGCGAATCCTAATTCCACCCATTTACTAGCTGTGTGTCCTTGGACAGGCTTTTCTGTAGGCTACACAGGCTCTAGTTTCTTTGCCTGTGAGAAGGGTAAAAGATTGAATTTTGTCAGAATTGGTTAACAAAAAAATGTTTTAGAGTGTGCTTGATGCATAGAAATGTCAGATATTAACATTTCACTGGAGACCCGAGCATGCAGTCAGATTCACCTCCTAGCAGGTCTGGTCACTGAGATGGAGGCAGTTTAGAAGGACCAGCTTTTGCTTAACTTGTGCTGGGAGTTTGTCAGGCAAACCTGGTAGACAGGGGAGCAACGTGGTGTGTTAGCTCCTCTCTTAGCCAGATAAAGGCAACATGGCAAGGGTTTGCTTTGGCTCACGACTTAAGAGATACCATCTACCATGGCAGAGAAGGCATGGCCAATGGAGTGTGAGAGAGATGTTCACACTATACCTACAGCCCGCAGAGAGAGAGAGAGAGAGAGAGAGAGAGAGAGAGAGAGAGAGAGAGGCAGAAGCCACAGAGGAATGCTGCTTGCTGGCTTGTTCCTCATGGCTTGCTCACTCATCTGCTTTCTTATTCATTCCAGGGCTGCCTGCCCAGGGGTGTCCCCACCCACAGTGGACTGGACTCTCCCACATGAATCATTAATCAAGAAAATGCCCTACAAGCAAACTTGCCTACAGGCCAGTCTTATGAAGGGGTTCTTTTAACTGAGGTTTCCTCTTCCCAAATGACTAGCTTGTGTCAAGTTGACATAAAAATAATTAACACGGAGATACTTTCCTGGGGTGCAGTATTGAAGTGTTTGGCATCCCAAAGCTGAGAGTCTTGCCTTTTGTATTTTAGGCAGTGTAAAGTGAATTTTAAGTAAGAGTGTGGCATAACTGGATCTTGCTCATTTTCTCTTTCCTGTTCACAGTGTCACAGCTGGTTAGTGTGTGGCACTCAGAAAGCCATCAGTACATGTATATTAAACGAATGCATTTATGAATGTCTCTACTTGAAGCTTTCAAATGGAGAATGAACCAGAAAGAGAATAAAGTAGGAAGAGGTGGTTAGGGAACAGATCCTGAAATTGAGGCACAAGATTAAAAGGAGGAGGTTAGCTTCCACTTGAGTGGGAAGCATGGCCATGCCCTTAAGAGAAACTGGCATGGAGACAGAGAATGTGTTTTCACAAGTACAGTGTGACAACAGACACGAACCTGGGTTCCAGACAGGTTTGATGAAATGCAACAACATAGGGAGGAGTTTGGTCAATGAACAGTCAGAGACTGGAATTTACACTCAGGAAAGAGATGGGTCAGAGGAATGTACTTTGATCTTTTTCAAGATGCCAGTGGTATTGAAGGCATGGAGTGATAAAGCCACCAACAAGCCTCCCCTTTCCTTTCCCCATGGTCCTCGGCAACTGTTTCCATGAGTCAGGCTTTCAAATATCACAGGCCGTGGAATCCTGTAGTGTTGCTTTGGCTCTGGCTTATTTCACTAGCAACAATCTCCAAGACTCAGAAGCCTCAGTAAGGGCCTCTGTGACAGTCATTTTGTGTGGCACCGATGGAATGGCCTCTTTCACTGTGGGGGTGTGTGGTAATGGTGGCCCCTCCACTAAGCAGCTGGTGCCCACTGTCATTGTGGCTTGCTTTCCGTGGTTCCTGGCACTTGCTCAGTAGTCACCTGCCATCTTGCCAAATGGGGCTTTGGTGGGTTGGGGTACTTTGCACCTAGCTGCTTGGAGATGGCTCTTGGTGGGCTCCACACTGTTCCTGCAGCCTGAGATCTCAACACTTTCTCATTGGTCCTGTTGTTCTTCCTGTCATACCACAAGGCATCCAGTTTTCTGGTCACCCAGTGAAAACATCACTTCCCTCTGCCATCGCCCTGTCCACAGAAGACACTGATCTGATTCTTGGGGTGCTTTTGTTTACTTACTTGATTTTGTTTTATTTCTTGGTACCAGGGATTGAATGTAGGTCTCTGGGCATGCTTGGCAGAACATATAACCTCCATGAGCTGTAATCCCTGGCCTATAACCTCCATGAAGTTTTTACCTTCATATATATATATATGTATAGTCAATATCTTGTTCAGTGATTAGGTTGGCCTTGAAGCTGTAGCCCTCCTGCCTCAGGTAACATTCTTGAGCAGCTGGGATTATAGGCCTGGGCCACCAGGAAAATGAATTCTTCCCGGCTCCTCCTTTGACCTGTCAGTGACAGGAATGACAACTGAGGGGCTGCTGCCATACAGTCCTTCAGCCTGAAGATCCTTCCCAGAGACCTCTGCCTTGCTTTGATGATGGTCATGGAATCCATTGTGTTTCCTATTCTTATTTTTGTGGGCTGCATTACAATGAGGAGGAGACCTGGAGCTGGTAATTCAGAGCCCTAGAGTCTACCAGGCAAACATCTCACCTGTTTTGTTTTTTTGTTCATTCGTTTGTTTGTTTTGTTTTGTTTTTTTGCATGAATATAAGGGAAGAGGAGGAGGACAGAGCTCACCTCACAGTGGGGGTGGGGGAGTGGCTTTGAGCCGTGGAAGTCTTTGTAGAGGAGAAATTTTGAGCAGGCAGCCTTAGGTATACAGAGCCTCTTAAAAACCAGAGAGCTGTTTTAAGTCCTGCATTTTAAAAGACGCTGCTCGCCATTTATAGTAGCTAAAACAGGAAACACCTTAAAAATCCCAAAACAGAAGCCTCATCAATAATGGTTCAGTCCTTGGATGGATTGTTGAGTGGCCTCTAAAATAATTATGAGGGATCTTTAACAATATGAACAAATGCAATAGAATGATAGAGC